TAATACTCCAACTTGCTTGCAAGCACAGCTGATGTATCTATTAAGTACATTGATTTTCTGGTGATATGAAAACCTTGGGCAAGAATTCAAACAGCCACCGAAGTGCAGGTTCTCATTCTAATTTTGTCCATCAAATAATGGATAAGTGCACTGCAAGTTACAATTGAGTCCTAAAACTTTCAAAAAGTGCAATCAAATCCTAAACTTGTCAAATTGATGCAATCAAGTTCTTCCGTTAAGTCCGTCTAACTTGGCTAACGAAAAATGCTGACGTTACTTTTTTTTTCCCTCTCTCATATGTGACAATAATATGGCTAAAACATGAAGCATTGGGTTAAACGACGTCATTTTGGTTCAAATATGATTTTTTAATGCAAGTTTCATTTAAATTAAATTAAAAAACAAGTTAAATTTAAAATAACTGAATTATAAAAAAGAGACAACCAAGTCCTCGTCACCATAGCCCTACCATCGCCGGCTAGTGAGCCAGGGACCCTTGTCCATTGGCCGAGGCTTGGCGAGCCCCGCCGGCCATTGCCCAACCATCACCGACGGTGGCAGCAAGGGCTTTGTTTCTCTTTGTTTATCTTTTTTTTTTTTGTGTTTTCTTAAAGTTAGGTTATTTTTTGATATAATTTGAATAAAATTTTTATTAAGAAATTAGATTTGAACCACAACGACATCGTTTTAGCCACATCAGCGTCATGCATGATAGTAAAAATTATATAAAAAAATCACATCAATATTTTTCGTTAGCCAAATTGGAAGGGATTAACGAAAGGACTTGATTGCATCAATTTGACAAGTTTTTGGACTTAATTGCACTTTAGTGATAAGTTTTAGGAGTATAATAAAAGGTTGTGTATCAGTATATCAATATGAACTCAAAAAGGATAGCATAGGGCCAAATCTGCAGAACCAACCTTAGAAAGGGGCAATTTTTCGTTCTTGAGATCTGAGAAGAGACAACCTTTTATAGAAGCGGATGAGCATGGCTGGTCTTGGAGACCATCACAGCACGTGAAATGCCAGATGAAGGACAGTGGCGTTTTCCGATTTCGAGAGAATATTCTTTTGGAAGAATTTATGATATTGCAGTTGAATGTTATCAACTCAAAAGGCGTTCCGGGGGACAAAAAAAAGTGGGAATTGTGCACTTTGGAGTGTGGACTCGAACACTGGCACGTTCGCTCCTTGAGACTACCTTGGCTTCTTGTACTTACTCCATCCTGATCTTGAGCGCTGGCTCTGATCTCTGCTATTCCACCATTCGCCTGGGTATTTCAAGCTTGAAACCTTCTTGTTGCTAACAATCAAGGGGGGTAAGATTTGAGATTTAAATGAAAGTTTGTGATTTGTTATGAGACAAAAAAAAGTTGAGGCCAGAATTGTCACTTCACCTAAAGTTGGTGTTTTTTTTTTGGAATTAGGCCCATTAGAAATTAACCAACATACCAATAAAGTAGTAAATTACCGACTCCTACAAAATTTCATGAGGGTGGTGAGTAAATTACCTACACAATCAAGATTTTACAAACATTACATGGAAGAATTAAATTACCAACTCTCTCAAATTCTACCGGTGTGTTAAGTAAATTACCAACACTATCAAAAATTCACCAACATACCAATTAAGTGGTTAATTACCAACTCTTAATACCAGTATCGTAAATAAATTACCAGCACTACCAAGAATTTACCAACATTCTAATGAATTAGTAAATTAACATATCCGTATAACCAACAGTAGAGATCAAATAAATTAAATAAAAGAATCCATACATCTTGCCCTCGGCCAAAAATGGATAAGAGCATAAGAAAAATCATGGCGCTCAACACAATCGGCTAGTGAGAGAGAGAGAGAGAGAGAGAGAGATGCACATCTGGCCAATTTGTCAAGCAAAGAGGAAGTCACACTGAAATTAATTTATTTCACTAAAAAATTCTTGTCGCTGAAAACGTTTTCAGGAAATTCAATTTCAAAGAAAGTGAACAATTTTCTAGTGTTTATTTGCGCTGAAAAACAAGTTGAAAAAATTGGTTTCATGTAATTGATAATAAGTGATCTACTACCGTGCTAGTTAAATACTTGGAAAAGAGAAACCCCCAAAACCCGCCCAGTTAGCAAATACGCTTTTCATACTTGATATTCGACTGGAATCAAGTCTTTTTTTTTAATCGAAGTCAATGAACTTATAGCCCTGTGCTAGAGCTTTTTATAAGACAAACTTTATTCTACGTGAACAATCGCCTGAAAATAAATGCCTAACGATATTGATCTAGGACCGTCCTAATATTTTGATAGATTACATGGGATGATGGGAGCTCTCAGCCACCGCAATTAGGATAGCAAAGGAAATTGAGGAAGCATCTTGGAATCTATGATGAACCTTCTGTTATGCATTAGGCGTTGAAAAACTAGAAAGAATCCAACCGTATTATATCACTGATGAACCTTATTTTATGCTTTGGGTGTAAAAAAAAGTGCACCTGTCAACTTTGACAGGCAGGAGTGATGTTGCAATGAATCATTCTTAATGACCAATTGTAGCAAACTGGTCCACAACTCTCTGCATGTTTAGCCAATCCTGGCTTCTAAGTTTAATGACCTACAGAGTGTGCATTGGGTTTTGTCTATTGAAGTAAGACCAGATAAATCACGCTGAAAAAGCAGCACGGTTTGATCCTCATTCAAGTTCTTCATAAGTCCACGTTGAACCTTTGCATTCCAAACCGTATTTTTCGAGTGCAGGTCCTTATTTATTAGCACTCGGTACAAAGGCTAATTCATCTATAACTGAATTGAATTATTTAGGAAATTCATTTCACATAGGTTTGCAGTTTCTAATTTGGTCTTGTCGGAACATAGTTTGGTTCACTTTTAATTCCTTTTTCTTTTTACCTCCAACAGATACTAGGCAAAAAAGTGAGTTCACAAACAGAATTGCCCAAAAGGTTTTCAATGAGTTGGAAAAAGGCTTATCTTGCTGGTAACAGACTACTTGGTCAGTGTAGACCAACATGTGGATGTGATCATGGTACTGATAGGCGCTCCGACAAGCGAAGCACGGATTGTTGGATTCCATGATATGGGTGGCATTAGAAAGACAACTGTTGCCAAAATCATCTACAAATTCACACGATAATGAGGATTGTCGCTTTCATACGAAAATGTTCGAGAAACTTCAAAACTCAAGGACATTGAGTGCTTGAGAAAGATGGGAGGTTAAGCTAGCCAGAGTCCGAAGCTGTCCTCTGCTTTTGTGACTGCCTTATCACCAAGATATTGGTATCGTTTCTATACTCAAGGCCTTTATTTGCAAGAATTGGAGATTTTGTGCAGCGAGCTAGGGAAAAGTTGTCTCATCGGTTTTGAACGACGTTTAGAAAAATCATTGCAATGTGGATGCGATTTTCGAATTAGATGCTCTGAGTCCAATCTGTGTTGGGTTGGGAGGTTAATTATATTGGAGTCTTCTTCGTTTGAATCGCCTCCTTTATAGACATGAACTACGTAAAGTTGCACAGGTAAATTTTATTTGTCTAGCCTTTATACAGTGTCAGTCTTACTCGCTGTTTTGCACCATTAATTTTATAAGGGCCATAAGACCGCCTACTGATGGTTTTGCACTTCAAGGGCTTTTTTTTTTTTTCCAATTTTACTTAGTGACGCTTTATTCGAGATCCTTGTAAATTGTTCTTTCCTGTATAAAATTTGAAGCTGTGACACCTATGCCTTGAGCAGGGCAATATTCTACACTAAAAAACTGGAAAATTTCCGTGTTGATATAATTTCAAAGTTGTTGGTAATTATTCAATTTTATTGATAAAGAAAACATCACCAATAACTGTTAGGAATCGGCGCATAATTATAAAGAAACAAAGAATAAAAGCGAAAAAGAGAAATGGAGACACGAGGTTTTATCCCGGTTCACTCTTAAACTAGGGATACATCTAGCATAATTAGTACCTCACATCTCTCTATTACATCCCTTAATTACAAGAAAAAGAGATTATATAAAATGGTAGCTATTCTTGAGCCAAAGCCCAAACTATCAATAAAATACGAGCCCAAACTATAAAAGTCTTTTGGCTTCGCAGACTTCCTCACTAGGGAGCAGGACTCCCGTACCTTCCTGTTGCAGGGGTACAGGTGTATGAACCACACTCCAACAATAACTTGCTTGTCTGGTAAACCCCTCTTGAATTACCAACACTCTTAGATTTTGTCTACATTCCGGTGAAGTAAATGACCAACTCCTGTGAAATTTTATCATCACCATAAGTAAATTACTTGCGATATTAAAAACTTACCAATAGTCCAATGAAGTAGTAAATTACTAAATACATTACCACCATTGTTAGGAATTAAAACCATTATTATTGGATGACCATGATACATCCCAAAAATAGAAGTGATTGATCAACAAAGGAACACTATCACCATTTTTTGTTCAAAATTTAGCAACATTCCAATGACATAGTAAATTAGCAACTCCTCTCGAATTTTACCAATGCAGTAAGTAAATCACTATCACTATCAATAATTTATCAGCATTCTAATAAATTAGTAAATTACCAACTCTTATGAAATTTTATTAGTGTGATAAGTAAATTACCAGCACTATCAACAATTTATCCACCTTCCTGCCATGAAGGCATTGGAGTAATTTGGCAGCAGCAAAATAGACATCCAATTGATGATCAACAGATTCCAGAAAATAACGTGGTTTTGGCCATTTGTGGTGGGTGGGGAACCAAAAACGTCGAAGAAAATCTCCGCGATCAGGCACAGGAACAACAGCTCATATGACCAGAAGGGGGCTGTTATCCCCAAAATAGCCCCGACTTGACACCCCACCCCGCAATTGTATTTTTCTTTTTTCAATTGCGTTGTGTCGGTGGAGATAAAAGATAAGAATTGAGTTGGGAGGGGCCACTTTGGTTTTAGAAAAACCTGCATTCGTCAACTTTGACAGGCTGTAGCGAGCCATTCTTATTGACCAATTCTAGCAAACTGGCCCTCCACTCTCTGCATATTTAGCCAATCCTGTCTTCTACGTTTAATGAACCACAGAGATCTCCATTTGTAATTCTGGCTTCTAAAGTGATTTAGATTTTTCTGACCAAAAAAGAAAGTGATTTAGATTTCGCAATGTGCTCATTGTGCTGTACTGATTTTGCTGCTATACTGTTCAATTTTTTCTTCGAGAGGAGATCAAGAGAGATCAACGGAGGGGAGGCAAATGACGATGCAGCTGCAAACGATGAAACAGCAAGAGGCGCTTCTTCTACTCACACTTCAATAGAAGATCAAGGAATGGCTACTTCATCAGGATATGACTATGAAGTATTCTTGAGTTTTAGAGGACCAGATACTCGATCATCTTTTTCCGACTTCCTTTACACTAGTCTTAAAGATGCGGGAATCCGCGCATTTAAGGACGACGAAGATCTCCGCAAGGGGGAAGAGTTTGACCCAGAACTTCTCCAAGCAATTAATCAGTCGAAGATCTCAATACCTATCTTTTCCAAAGGTTATGCCTCTAGCGTATGGTGTCTCAAGGAGCTAGTCCAGATGGTCAAGTGCCAAAAAACTAGAAGACAAAAGATCATGCCCATTTTTTATGATGTGGCCCCTTCAGAGGTTCGATACCAAACTGGGGGTTATGGAGAGGCCTTTCTTTTACATGAAAACAAGAAGTCACATGGAAACAAGAAGCGATATGACGAAGAGACAATGGGTGGGTGGAAGGCTGCTCTTAGTGCAGTTGGGAAATTAGATGGATGGGACCTGCACAGCATGCCCAACAGGTGATTGCTTTTAGCATTTTTGTGATGTGCCTTGTACCATTAAAACTCGATGCATTTCAATTGGTTTCTTTACAAGATTTGTGTTAGTCTTGTTGAAATTGGATTTTGTACTATTGAAGTTTTACCGCAGAATCAAGCTAAATAACGGCACTATCCCAATTTTGTCCTTTTCATAATGAAACAATGTTTTCAGATCACTCATTCATTAACCCTCAGTACCAACGCTAATTCATCTACAATGGAATAAATACTTGAAGAACACATTTCGAATAGGCATGTAGTTTTCAATATGGTCTTGTAAGAACATAGTTTGGTTCAACATAGTTTCTAACTCATTGCCTTTTGACCTCCAACAAACACTAGGCGAGAAGGTAAGTTCGCAAAAACACTTACCCAGAAGGTTTTCAATGAGTTGAAAAAAGCTTATCTGGAGGTATCAAACAACTTGGTTAGTGTCGACCACCATGTAGATAAAATCATGGAAATGATAGATGCTCAGACAAATGAAACACGGATTGTAGGAATCCATGGGTTGGGTGGCATTGGAAAGACGACTATAGCCAAAATCATCTACAATCAACTTTTAAAAGATTTCGAGGGTTGTTGCTTTCTTTCCAACATCCGTGAAGTGTCAGAACTCAAGGGCATTGAATGCTTGCAGAGCCAGCTCATCTCGGACATCCTCAAAATGAAATGGACAGATATAAGAAACTATGATGAAGGGACTCAGACAATTAAAGACAGGTTGTCTAATAAGAGAGTCCTTGTTCTTCTCGATGATGTGGATCACAAGAATCATATGGATGCACTTGTAGGTAAGCCTAATTGGTTTGGTAAAGGGAGCAAACTTATTATTACTACTAGGAAGAAAGATGTTCTTGATGTTTGTGAAGTGGACTGCAGTTATGAGGTTAACGCCATGGATGCCCATCGATCTCTTCAACTTTTTAGCAAACATGCCTTCCGAAGAGATGATCCTTTAGACAAGTATATCAACCAATCAAACAAGGCGATAGACATTGCGGGAGGTCTTCCATTAGCTCTTGAGGTAATAGGTTCACTTTTATCTCGCACTAAAAAGGAAATGTGGGATGTCACATTGGAGAAGTTGAAAAATGTTCCTCATGCGGATGTTCAGAGTAAGCTGAAAATAAGTTATGAAGCATTAGATGATGGAGAAAAGCATATTTTTCTCGATATAGCTTGTCTTTTCATTGGATATGACAAAGATATTGTGGTTCATTTCTGGGATGCATCTAAACTTTTTCCAGAAGTAGCCATGGAAGTTTTGCAGAATATGTCTTTGATAAAAATTAAAGAAGATAATACAGTGTGGATGCATGACCAACTCAGAGACCTTGGAAGAATATTGATTCGTCGAGAAAGTAAGATGAAAATAGAGAAGCAAAGTAGGGTGTGGAATCCAGAGGAAGCATTGGATTTGTTGAGGAGACATAAGGTAAAATCCCCTTGCAATAAATTTCCAATTCATTATGGATATTTTCTTTCAGAAAAAGCCTGTTACTTTTTGTGTTCTCTAGCATCATTGTGACCTACACAACCAATATTTTTGCTTTTCTAGGATTAAAGGAATGATAGTACTCAACTCAACCCCTTCATATAGTGAACTTGAAGAAATGTGTTTCCCTTCAACTTTTTTTAATTTTAAATTTTTCCTTGGGCAGGGGAAAAAAAAGGTTGAAGTGCTTCGTCTCAAGTTTGACCATCAGCGGAAATACTATTTTACCTACGAGGAATTTAAGAGACTATCAAATCTAAGGTACTTTGAAGTTGATGGTTCGATGGAAAATTTTTGTGCAGAAGAGAGGCTTTTTTGGCACCAATCTCCATCAAATGTTCTTCCAACTAATGTTGTCCAAGATAATTCAGATCTTCTTCCACAATTGCAATGGCTATCGTGGCATAGTATTCCCCCAACATTTAACATAACAAATTTCTCCATCGACGATTTGGTTATTGTTGATCTATCTAAGAGTGTAATTACACATGATTGGAATGGGTGGAGCCACATGGAGGTATGTTATATGCTAGATAACATTTATTATTCCATCTTATTAGATTCAGAAGTTATCTTTGCCAATTTTTCTTTTACAGGTGATAAAGAATTTGAAAGTTCTGATTTTGACCTATTGCCTTTGCTTGGAGAAAACTCCCAACTTCTCTGCCCATGCAAATTTAGAACGTTTGATCCTACGTGGCTGTGCCAAATTAGTCGAAATTGATAAGTCAATTGGTCAATTGAAACACTTAGTTTCCTTAGACGTAAGCGATTGTGGGAATCTTCGGAGGCTGCCAAACGAGCTTGGTGGACTGGAAGCTTTGAAAGAACTCCGGATTGATTTGACTCCAATTGAGGAAATCCCTAATTGTCAAGGAATGAGGCATTTAAGGATTTTTACTGCTTCTTATTGTGGGATAATTACACTTCCCCACTCAATTGGAGATCTTGCAAGCCTTGAATACCTATTGCTGGATGGTTGTGGATCGTTGGAGAGGCTTCCAGATTCAATTGGGAATTTGACATCACTAATTGAGTTGAATATATTTGGGACGTTGGTGGAAGAACTTCCTGATTCCATTGGAAACTTGAAGAATTTGAAAGTAGTGAAGATGACTGGGAGTGCCATGAGCAAAATACCTGATGCCCTTTGGACTATTGATAAGCTCGAAGAAATAGAAGTGGATGGCATAGATGAACTGCCTTTCCATGTGAATATTGGCAATTGCATCAATAGAAATCGATCCCTGAGGATCTTGAGATTGAGTGATGCAAAAATATATGCAGTACCAATGCTTCCTGAAAGTCTATTTAGTCTACAATTGTCTACATTATACATGGACACGTTTCCAGACCTCTCAAACCTGACTAATCTAAAGGAATTGAGTTTGAGTTTTGTCCCACGTGATTATGATGTGAAATCTCATGGGCTCGTGGAAGATCCAATACCACGGTGGATTGGGAAGTTAAGAAAACTAGAGTCTTTGTGCCTACATTCTGATCATGTGACCACCTTATCCATGAATATTAGTCTCCTCCCTCAACTCAAGGCACTTGACCTCCGGTGCTCTAATCTGGGTTGCCTCCCGAGGCTTCCCACAAGTTTATTATCCTTATCTTTGTGCTATTGCAAGTCACTTTGTTTGATGGATCTATCGAATTTGAAGAAACTATCATCTCTTGAGATTTCATACTGTGCAATTTCAAAGATTCAAGGCCTTGACTGTTTGGAGAATCTACAAAATTTGTGGATTTCTGTTCTTGAACAGGTCGACATACTCCCTAATCTAGGTAATTTCAACAAACTAAGAAGTCTTCGTGTACAGAACTGTGGTAATTTGGTTGAGATTCAAGGCGAACTACCACAATCTTTGGTAGAGCTTGTGATTTATTCATGTGAATCTTTATGGAAGTTGCCTGATTTGTCAAGCTTAAAGAGATTGCAAAAGATTGACATAAATCGTTGCATGAAATTGAATGTGGAGGCAACTCTTGGCTTTGCTCAAAGAAGTCAGGCATATTTATGGTTGGAGTCGGAGAATGAGTGCACGTTGATCTTGAAAACTTCTTGATCCATGACCATAAACTGTTCCCTCGTGTTCAAACTTCAAACAAATTGATGTAAGTTATTTTGTTGTGACAACCAATGTTTTCGTTTTTTGCAATCAAATTCTTTCACAGATATAAATAGAGAAAGTTTCACATGCACATTTTAATTACCTTTTTGCGAATTGATGTATGAAAGTCTGATGAAGGTATTGAAGTCATGGTACCTCCGTACAACCAGAGGGTTCTTAATTATGTACAAATATTTGTTTTCTTTTCCTAGTTTGGTTGGCTTTTTTAGTTATATTTTCTGTTGATGGTTTTGAACCGCTAATTATGTTACCCATCAATGACAGAGTCAAATCGGTTTCTTGAAATCTGTTTGGCAAAAGCGGAATTTTGTTCCTTATCTAGTAAATATGCAATGTTGATAGTAAATTTGAAATATCAATAGTAAGTAAAAAAGTGACAGGTAATTTATCAGTACGGTCAATTGTCTGTAAAGTTACCGACGAGTTGTAATTTTAGAAGATTACCATTTGTTTACGTGTTTTACAACTATAAGTTATTGATGAAATAACAATTTTACCACCCATAGACCATCTCTTGTTTTTAGATTTTACAATAGGGCGCATATTTGCTCTAGTAATTTTGAATGATTACATGTTTTACTGTTAGTCTTAATAATTATTGTAAGTTACGAACGATGTAACCATTTTTCGATTATAAATTCCTAATACATTATTAACATTGTTTTGGTTTTTCAGGGCAACTATCGATGAAATGATGATACAAGTGCTGGTGTTGCTTAGAAAATTTTGCTAGTTTCTGGGAAGTTCTAGGAGACATGATCTGCAGAGGATTGCTTTTCTGATGATAAGTGCTTGTTGTCTCTGAGAGCTCCTTAATCCAGGACCATAACCGGTATCAGTTATGCGTCAAAACTGAAACTTAAACATGTTGCTTTAAGTTCTTCCTGTTTATTATTTTCTTTTACTGATATCAATATTATATGGAAAGATTTCAGATGTAAGTCTCCTTTTGCGAGCTGACTTTGTAAGAGCTGAGAGGTATTACTCTTACTGGCTGTTTGACACCTATCTCACAAAAGGGAACTGCTCAAAATTTTTGGATGAATAAATTCTCTTGATGGTTTTTCCTTGATTTTAAGCTTCCCCGCTGGAGGGATGCATGTAAATTCATTATTCGATTTATAACAAATCATTAGATATCCTTGTTGATTTGCTGCTTCACATATCTCAAAGCTGATAACCTCGCTTCGCACTGGAGATAACTTCGTTATACTGTAAACAATTAGATGGAATGTGCGTTGGAAGGTCATAGCACTATGGTTCTCATATTGGAACTTTACAGCATAATCAACTCGTTGCAACTGTGAAGAAGACGGGCACTCTGCATTGATATCTTCTGTTCAGTTTATTTTCCAGAAAAGGTGTGCTTCTTAGTGGAACTTGCACATGTTATGCAGAAGTTAGAAAATGAAGAAAGAGCAATTTCACTTGGGCAGGGGCATCCATAGTTGGTGCAGCAAAACTTCCATCTGTGACAGGAGAGGGGAGCTATTTGGCTTCTCCAAGGTATCATAAATCATCTTATAGTTAAGGCTAAAATTTCAGTATTACTGGTGTGTAGGACATACGATAAGTCTCACTGGGGTAAGAAATCATGTAAATGGACTCTTGTGTTTTTTTTTTTTTTTTTTTTTTTTTGGTAACTCAGGGAACCCCCGCACGGCCGACAGCCGGGGAGTAAACCCTGGGGGCGACATGTGCTAGCCACCACACACGTGCCACCGGTTAAGTCACCCTGCGGCGCTCAGGATTCGAACACTCAACCTTTTGCGAGAGGAAGAGTGCGCGCTCCAGCAGCGCCACCCAGGCGGGTGGTAAATGGACTCTTGTGTGATCTCCATTATTGCCTACATTTTCAAGAAAGGGTTACGCCTAGGTGATTATCTGTAATAGAAGCCCTTCCATTCACCTCAAGTTATACCGGAGGATTCTTTTAGTTGATAAGCTTGACAAGAAGTGCTCAGGGAGACATCTCAAACGGCCACCGTTTTGCTGGTTCCTTATGTTGCTGAGAGAAATTAAAGTTAGAGAAACTGACATTAATCTTTCTGTGCAGGGAGCTGCGGGGCCATAAGAATGAATATTGCATTTCATCTAAAAGTCCGTTCGCTTCATTGACATGCAAATTGCTTATCAAGGCCCCACTTGAAGGGCTTGTCTAGAGCAGGAGACAATTCTGTGCACTTAAAAGTGGTGTTTAAGGTAGTCTTAGTTGCACCTGCCAAAACCAGTTCATGGACCTTTCGATGTGAAAATGGTGTTCGAGGTAGCAGTACTCATGACTATGACAGGCATTTACAACACAGGAAACGCGAATTGTTATAGTTCACGGAATGGGCAGTGTGGTAAAGTTGACTCTTGCCAAAATGATCTACAATCAGCTTTCACATGGTTTTGAGCCCTGTTGCTTTCTTTCTAACATCCGTGATACTTGAGAGTTCAAAGGCATTCAGTACCTGTAAAATCAACTCATCTCCTATGTCCTCAAAAGGAAATTGACAGAAATAAGTAATGTTGAGGGGATCAAGACAATTAAGAGATAGGCTGTCTAGTAAAAGAGTTCTCGTCCTTTTTTATTACGTTGACCGGAAGAATCAATTGAATGCGCTTATGGTAACATCTTTGATATTCAGGCATTACTGAATTCTTCAATGCTAGATATCAAGTGCCGAAGGATCTCGAAATTCTTAGTGCTTCACATTGTTCATCATTGAAGATAATCTCTTCCATTGGTCACTTGACATCTCTATCGAGGCTATCTTTCAGAAGCACCATAATTACACGACTTTCCCTGTCGACTGGAGCTCTTACAAGCCTTGAATACTTATCCTTGAAAGAATGTAGAAGTATAGAGAGGCTCCCGGACTCAATTGGCAATCTGCAATTGCTACTTGAGTTTGATATCTCCCCCATGCATTAAAGAGTTACCTTACTCAATGGAAAATATTAAATTTTGAAAATAATGAGGATGAATAATTGTTCCACTTAACCACCCGCCTGGGTGGCGCTGCTGGAAAGGGCACTCTTCCTCTCGCAAAAGGTTGGGTGTTCGAATCCCGGGCGCCGCAGGGTGACTTAACCGGTGCACGTGTGTGGTGGCTAGCACGTGTCGCCCCCAGGGTTTACCTCCCGGCTGTCGGCCGTGCGGGGGTTCCATGGGTTACCAAAAAAAAAATAAAAATAAAAATAAAAAAAAAATAATTGTTCCACTGGACATCACCTTGTCCTTGTTGGGTCAAGGGTTGGTGTTGGTTTTAGGTTGTATTTGGTGTTTTGAAAAGTTAATACGTATTATTACCTTTACCAAAAAAAAAAAATAATTGTTCCACTGGCCGGTTCAAGACAATCCTCGGAACAGAAGGATTCAAGCCAGTTGGGGCATATCTGATTCCATATTCAGCTGACCCTCCCTCGTAGTTGTCGTTGTCTGTTGGCTGCCGTGTAGCCTTCTTTGTATAGCGCTTCTTGAGCTTGTTATGTTAGCCGCAACACCTTTGTACCGGTCGGGACACTTTTTGTCTCCTCAGGTACGAGGTTTTTGTGTTCGGCCTCACTTGCTGTATATTGCGCGTTGAAAAGTTATATACTACTTACTTTACCAACAAAAAAAAAATTTTAATTGTTCCACTGGAAAGATACCTAGTGCTTTATGGTTGCTGTAAAAGCTTGAAGGATGCAGCACACGGTGAAAGCTTGCAACTGGAAATTCCAAATGACATTTGCAGATACTCGTCTATGAGGATCTTGTAATTGACACTTATTGAAACATGCCAAGTACCAAGCTTCCAGAAAGTGTCGTCAGTTTATACATTGACACATCGATGACAACATTTTCAAATTTCTCAAACCTAACAAGTTTAAATGATTTGCGTTTGGCCATACGACCAGATGCTTACCCCGTGTGGACAATTGTCAACTTGTGGAAGATCCTATGCCATGGTGCATTATGAGATTAAATAAACTGGAGTCTTTTGACCTTGTTGTCTGCTGTTGTAATTACCTTATCAACAGATATTGGAAAGCTTTCTCAACTCAAAAGACTAGAACTCTGGTATGCAGTTTTGCTCAGCCTCCCAAGGTTTCCCTCTAATTTATCTTATTTATGTGTTGAATCTTGCTGGTCAATGGGAACAGCGATGGATCTCTCAAATTTGAAGAGACTGTTAGAACTAAGAATGGAAAATCCTGTAAGAATAGAGATTGAGGCCTTGACTATTTGGAGAATCTACAAATTCTGGAGCTCTTTGACTTGAACTAAGGGAGAATTTCCCTGGTCCGACTTATTTGAAGAAGTTGAAGTCAGTTGCACTAGATTATTGTAGTAATGTGGATTTTGCTAGTTGCAAACTACCAGAATGTCTGGAAGAATTGTTGATTGAAGGCCGTCATCTTGATGTAAGTTCATCGGGTTGAAATTCTTCGCAGAAAGGGGACAACATGTCTGAGGCCTGACTGTTTCAACTTGAAGAGGTTCAAATAATGCAATGTCTATCATTGCTTAGGAGATTCAGCCATTTCTCGAAAAATTTAGAAGGCAAGCTCTGCAGAGGAGTACATTTGCCAATAAGAAGTGCATGCGGTTTTTGAAAGGTCGTGCATTTTACAATCAGTTCTGTCGTTAAGGAAGCTTTGAAACTAAAGCAAATTGCTTATTGCCATATATCATATCAACAGAAATTTGCTAGTCTTTCCTAGAATCGTGTTCTTCATACTAAACTAGAATCACAATTTGGCAAGTTAATTTGAAATCTAATGTTCTTGTACCCTTGTATAGTTAATTATTGGCCGTTTTTACAACCACTTTCTACCTTTAAGATGGATGGCTGTAACTGCTCATGAAATGGGACCATGGTCTCTTTCGATCTATTTCATGAGTTCAATTTGGTTTAGATATATCCCCTTGTGAATTAATCTACCAGTGTCAAATTGATGCT